GAACATGTGCAGAGAAAGGCTACTAATATGGTCAGGGGAATGAGAAGGCCAAAAGAGAAATCTAAATAGCTTGTCTTACAAAGACTAGAAAAAAAGAAGGCTGAAAGAGTATGATTGCTCTCTATTGATTCATCAAATTAGTTAATATCAGGGGAAGAATGGGTGACAGGATGTAGAAGAGAAGAGTGAAGGGAAATGTTTGAAGAATAAATAGGTAGAAGAATAAGTGGGTAGAAGTTGGCTGTGAACTAATTTAGGCTCAAAATTAGAATAAACCAAGAAATGAGGTTCTGGAATAGCTTGCCAGTAGGAGTAGTATGAGTAAAAACCTAACTAGTTTCAAGATGAACCTTGTCAGTTTAAGAGATGCAGCATGATTGTCTGTAATAGCGAGGGATTAGACTTGACCCAGGAATTCTTTCCAGATGTACTTGCTTTGTAGCCCTCAACTGACTTATCATTAGCAGGTGAAACAGAAGTGCAGACCAGCATCTTGTAGTCGTATCGGTCAGCAAATGCTTAAACTTCTGCACACGCACCAAGACCCTATTTGACAGGCATGTAATAAATTACTATTATTACAGAAAATCATCTACATATCACAGTAAATTGTTACTAGAGATGTGCTGAAGACACAAGGTGCTTTATCGACAGCCAACAAACCCCTTCCTTTCCTCAAAGGATGCACAAGAAGACAAGAGGTGCTGGGTGACACTGAAAAAGAGGAAGACTTTGGGTTGGTAAACAAGGAAAAGGGATTACTTTAACAGGTAGGTGTGAAGGAAGACAAAAGTGCTTAGCAGAAGAAGACAGGGAATCCTACACAGCAGCATATTCACATATCATTCACATGCCCTCTCTTTCTGCTACCCATCTATAACATTAGGTTAATAATGCTGTTGACTAAGCTTTTCAAACTAGTGCCTGCCCCTGTGTATGCACAAAGACTAGCACGGTGGAGACCTGGGTTAGAATTCGGAAAACCATCCAAGTCACTTAGGAGCCTGAATTCCACTAACTTCCAATGGGATACATACTATTTGAGATGATTTTAAGTACTTAGACATAGTACTTAATATTAAAGATGCAAACAGATGCCTTCACAGAAGTGCCTTATTTCCATGTATTGGCATTCCACAAGGCACTTATCTATGTGGTTTGGTAACTACATATTTTCTTAAAAATCGGTCCCTGATTGCTTAGGATAAAGTTTTCAAAAGTATGCAAGTCCCATTTTCATAAGCTTCTAGGGTTCCAAGTAACTTCCATATCATAGGTGTTAAAGGGATTTAGGATCCCAAGGGCCTAAGTTGCATTTGAAAGTGACCGAGTCGTATGGGACTTTTCAAAATGTTATCCCACTCGGGGAATCTGGAAGGTTATGCTGGTCTTTTACTACAGTGATACTTATTTGTAAATAGAACTGCAGAATACAGTAGCAGATGTTGCAGCATAGCATCTTGCTTTATGTCACCTTAGTTATTTTCCTAGTGAATACAGTAACACATTAAGATAATGGGCTAAAGTTTATTTCATTTGGGCAAGTTTAGATTCTCATAGGATACAAGAGGCCAAAATCCTTAATACAAAACAAACGGAAGGGGAAAAAATAGCTACATTATCTTGGAAGCAAGCTCTACTGGCACCATTGCCTTTAGCAAGATGCTATCTGACATCTTTTGGCTGAACAAGTCCTTTTGTGGGGTGATTAAACAGCAAATATCTCCGAGCAGCATAATGTTTATTGGATATTGCTCTGTTAGGGCAGCTTGTGTTTTCACTGTATTCTGCTTCTGTATGCGAGGGTGTGGAATTTGTTAATCTAAATAAAACTCAAAATAGACAGAAAGAGCTGCTGACGCTTGGTGGGAAAATTTTGAAGGAAAACAAAAATTGCTATTGAAAAGCAGTCCTGTGCATGAGTCGTCTTCTTTGTTGTCACCTCATCAAAAGAGATGCCTTTTGATAGGTGCCTCCTAGTCCCACCACTTTCAGATGGTTTGCACATGCATGACTAAAGGCAGGACTTGACCTAGGCAGGCAAGGTTGTTTGGGTAAATGTGATATCTTTTATTAGTCCAACTAAATAAAGGCAGTGATAAGGATGTATTCAACAAACCAATGTCCATATACATTAACTTGCAGATGGTCATAGCAAAGGAAGCCCAAATAAGTCTACCATTTTGGCTTCTGTTACCCTTGGTCCCACCTCAAGAACTTTCCAAGAAACGAAAAACTTTTCTACCAAAAGAAGAAACTAGAGCTCTGGGTAAACTCACTCAGACACCATAATAGTTGACTCAGACCTTTGTGTTCAACTCAAACCAAATTTCCTTTGATAAAAATAAGCATTTTTTCCTCATTTACATTGCTATCACCGGTCTACTTCAAATTACAATAAAAGAAATGCAAGGAAATTTGTGAGGGTATCTGCTTTTGGAAAGCATCCAGCCTGAATTCTGGATCAAAGGGATTCAGAAAAAGAAAACCACTTGAATGTTTGTCTTGGTTTGTTCTTTCTATGTTTTTCAGTATACACGACATATTTAACATACTAGAGTTTAGAAATACACACACACACAAGCATTTCTTTTAAACGTACTGGTCTAAATCACAAAGACTCGGAGTAGATTCTAATCTCATTTATGCCATTTTTTACACTCCACCCAGTTCAGAAGGTTACTGCAGCCTTACATAGACAGAGCCAAGTCCTGAAACTCTAGGCTTTATCAAACGAAGGATCATCCTGCCATCTAGGTAGTCTGCCCCTGTCCCTTACCACTGACTAAATCTCAATTCCTTTCAGCTCTTAAGTCATAGACCTCATCCCTGTTTTAAGAACAGACTGTGAAGAGCTCTCTGAAGCTGATTGCCAGAACTGCCACTGTCAGAGCTTCCTTCAGCAGAAAGGATTAGAGTGTCCTGAAAATGTCAATCAGATATCAAAGATAAATGAAGATTGAAAAATAAAATGTACAATTTATAAAAAATAAGTCTTTGGAAGACACAGTCAGAGTACTTTGAAAAATTTAAGAGAAATATGTCACCAAAACAAATATATGCTCTACTGTCCAACTTTAATTTTTCACTGATAAAACCCCAAAAGCACTGCAGCCAATACAATAAATAAAACAGCTAAATCCCCACTGGTATCCAATTTCCATTTACCATGACTAAGTGTCTCTCAGAGCTGATGCACTTCAGCTGATATCAGCTTATACACCTCCCACTAACTAGGTGCCCTATGTGTCAATGAAAAGACATGACTATTGGGACTGTCACAACCAAGGACATACTGCTCTTCTTATAAGAGCACTGCATCAACCATACAGCTCAGCCACCCTAGTAGTGCTTGCCTGTTGAGTTTTCTATTGTTTGGGTTTTAATTCACTTTACTAAGATTGCTTTTCATTCACTTAGTGACAGGTAGTTATTTGTTTGCAGGGTTCCATTTGACATTTATTGTTCATGTAAAACACTAATAATAATAATTAGTGCCTTTTTAGAGTTGTCTGAGGTTTTAGTGCTGGTGCATTGTTAATATAAAACATCCCAATGCTTTGCTGTATATAGGCTAGCATGATAGTATTTATATATAACAAAGGGGCTCATTATACGGAGACCAGATTGCAGTATCTTTGCACCTCCCGTTAGTAAGCCAAAACTTAACGTTCTCTAAACTTGTCTGCAATGCTAATAGTTTCTGTAAAGGGAAGCAAAGCTAAACAAAAGCCAAATGCTTCTTCAATTTTTTATTCTCTTAAAGAATGTAACAGCCAAACCCTCTTAAAGGGAGGATGAGTGCAAGTAAATGACATAATGTGTACTGTCACTTTAAGAAGAACCTCAGTATAATGAGATCGTGCTGGTGGGTGGGCACACATCTGCATGTAGGGAA